GGCGACCTTTTTTTTTTGGCAACCGAATCTTACTATTATAAAGCTTTGATTTACCATTATCTTACTATATGGCGTGCTGTAATTATTATTCAATTGCATTAATTAGATAATTAAACTAAACAAAACCGAAGAACCAATTGTTTGTTTTTTAACATCTGCTTTGTTAATTTAAAAGTTTTTAACATCTGCTTTGTTAAATTTAAAAATTCGATACAAGCGATTCACTAATGCAACATTTGTAAGCATCTAGGAAGAGTATTATAAATACAACATAAGAGAAGAAATTGCGATCTTCTTATATGAGCTAAATTAACATATTGTTGTTTAGTCCGGTATGGAGTTATATGAACAAAGAACCAATAGTTTTAAACTAGTTTGAGTTCCACCATTTTTGAAGAGTAATTTTCATTATGTTTCAATTACTAGGTAATATATTAGCAAATTGTGATGGTTTAGGGCTTTATAAATTTAAAATTAAATATTGCATCAACACCAACACTTATCCGATTGGTAACCAAAAACAGTGTAAATTTTTTAGCGGTAACCTTGAGCTGTAAACTATTAGTATAGTGCAAAACTGTAAGAAATAGCTGTAAGCTTAAACTGTAAAAACAAAACTAAATGTAAAATTTTTGTGATTGGTACCATCTAAAACGTTAAAAATTGTAAATTGGTACCTACGTGTTTCTTAAATTGAAAAAAAATTATTTTACTTGGGAAACTTTTCATTTTTCCATTTACCTCTCACTTCACTATCGTTGTTTTACTTTAATAATTCTTTGCAAATCACTTATTTTTTTATTCAATTGTGGATTGTGGATTTCATCCTTGCGAAATTCTTTATAAATCAGTGTTTAACCCTTCTTCTGGATATCCCATTGTCTTGTTTACATCCTTTGTTCTTAGTAAGTATTCGTATTCCCAGTTTTCATTACTGATAGCTTGTTCTTTTTGGTTTAAAATTTTTTCATATAATTTCTCTCCTTTTCAGAGAAAGATCTTTTCGTTGATTGCCATGCTATGAACAAATGTCGGCAGTCCAACTCTTCTGACCCACCGGTGCAAGAGGATACCATTTCTTCGGGGAATGCAATTTCTCATGCTTTTGTGTGAAATCTTCATTTGCCAAAGATTCAGCCTATTGAAATTATCCCTGTGAATTTTTCCCCTTCACTGGGACCTCTTGAGGATCTACATGTTGTTACTTAAAACTCTCATTATTTTTCTGAATGCAACAAGGGTGGAGAGAGAATTTTGGTCCTTTTTTTGAAAAACATGCCCTCGTTCTGAAGTCAATGTCTTTCTGAAGTCAGAAACACGAGAGAGTCCTCCTAAGAATGAATTAGGACCTCAGATGAAAGATCTCATGCACAACTGAGACTTCGAATACAATTCAAACCTATTGGACCAATTAAAAATCAAAAATCAATTAAGACTTCATGGGTCATATAATTGATAAGATTAAATTGGTTAAGTGAATAAGAAATGAGCCATTGGATCATGGAGAAATCTCAAAGTTTAAAACCTTAAATTACAATATGATGTAATTGAGATCAAACATGTCTTGCCAAATAATTTGGATTTGAATTTGGTAAATGGATCATCAATCTAATGGGCCAAATTCATAAACAAATTTATCAAAGTTTTGTGATTAACTATGTTTAATACAAAACAAAATATTTTACTAATTTCCAATACAAGAAACGAGAATATTAATTGGTCATATGGCATTATTATTGATATTCATTGTCAAGATCATGCACTAATGATTTTTTTTACGTTAGCATCAAATTGTCATCACTCCATGATTGACTTTAGTTGTCAAGATATGCTAAACCTATTCTTTTTAAATTTGGACAAGAAGTAGCATGGAAAGGACATGTGTTAATGCCATGATTTGGCTTTATTGAGTCAAATTTTGTATTAAACAAATTCCATAAATCTTGCTTTGGAAAAGCTTATAAAAGGCACACTTCCTCTCCTCTCCAAAACAGACTTTTACACATTCACAATACTACAAAAGTTCTCTAACAATCTTCCTCTCTTTTCTTCTTTCTAAAAGTAAATATCTCGAGAGTATTTCGTAATTTCTTAATTCATAGATTCTATAGTCGAGTGTCGTGACTATAGTCTAACACAGTTTTATCATAGGATTCAGAATCTCTAATATTTGTCACACTACGTTGGAAAGTTTGGGCCAGATAATTTACTTTGATCATTTTTTGTTTTGCGATGCTCATAAGATTTCTTAAATGTCTTTTCTTCTTCCAGCTAATGGTTGCTCATGATCGTGTCGTTGACTGGTATGAAAGAAGGATTCGTGACTCTGTGTCTCATCGTAAATTAGAAGAGTGTCACCAACGTGTCTCTCAACTTGACCATGACCTGGATGAATGTCGTCATTGTCTTTCAAAAATTTATATTCATGTATTCGCCACCCACCCCCTAATAGTCTTAGAAAAATAAATGCTTGGACGGTCCTTGGAGTTCAGAACGTTCACTAAGATTGAGGAATTTTTT